CCAGCGGCGGGGGAAAAAGCACCATAAGCTGTGGAGAGCGGGAAAGCGACGGTGCGTCCTTCAAAGTCTGGAATGGATTGTGTGAGTAACCTTGTGGACATCGGTGTAACTGTGCCGCGCTCATCTCCGTTTCTTAAAGAATAACAGTCTGTGTTATAATTTTTGGTTTCATTTAATACCGTATGAACTTGTTCAGGATTTTCTAATTAGCGGGTCTGCTTTAACCTACCTCAGCTAGAACGCTACCGGACCCTGAATTTCCCCTTGAGCGTGCTCTTCTGCGAGCCTAGCGGTTGTAACCATAGCGTTAGCTTGGAGTATTGCCAGTCAGAGCAGTGTGTGGGAACACTGTACAGAAGCTGCACACAGTTTTTTATATCGGGAAACATCCCGTGATAATTTTCATACAGAAGACATTCCGCTTTTACTTGTTGTATCAAAAGCAAAAGGGCGTTGTCTGTTTTGGGACCGAACCTTTGTCTTTACTCCCAGTTTCCGTGAAGGAAACTCCAATGAATTTACATCTTTCCAATCTTCAACCATTGCCAGATGTTTAAAATTAATTCTGAATGGGTTTTGGAAGTGTTTGCAGTACTTGGTTTTGGTTTTCACCGTCGCTTTGGTAGCAGTTCCCGGTGTGTTGTACCCTGGGGAGAACACGGTGAGGGACACGGGTTACTGATCTTTAGCAGAAATACGGACGGGAGGTGGGGACGTGCTTCAGAGCTGTGGAGAAGCTGCTTTGTCACCCTCTACACATTCCAGCAGTTGTAAAAAGAGGGTACAGACTAGCTACCACTGCAGTCTTCTTTTAACCTAGTGGAAATGCAAATAAATAAAAAGAATTCAGTTAGAAGTAGGCAACCTGCATTGGTAAGACTCGTTTAGCTTGGGTCAAAAACTAAACAAAGGCTGCGTGTGTCGGTTGTGTTCACGTTCAAGGACTTGGGTTGGGCACGGCCCATAGCAATAATCCAATTACCCCAACAGAGCGTAGTCTGATGGCTTCAGCTGGATACATTTTGGTAGTTTGATGAAGAGAGATAATGCCTAAGTAGTTAGAATTGTGCTAGGAAACTAATTACTCCACAGGTGAGTGTTTATGCAGAGCATCCAGGTGGCGGTGGCCGTCTGAACGTAGGCGGAGCGGCATTTTCCCTTTGCAGAGCAGCACCAGGTGGGCAGAAGTGGGGCCCCTTCCACCTCTCTGCTCAGGCTGGAGGTAGCTTGCTTCTCGGCAGGTAGCTCCCCCGAGGTCCGTCTCGTTATAGAATCATAGAATGGTTTGGGTTGGAAGGGACCTGAAAGATCACCTGGTTCCAACCCCCCTGCCATCAGCAGCGACATCTTCCACTGGACCAGATTGCTCAGAGCTCCATCCAACCTGGCCTTGAACACTGCCGGGGAGGGGGCAGCCACAACTTCTCTGGGCAACCTGGGCCAGTGTTTCACCACCCTCATGGG